CAATATGATTTTGCGTTTCTCTCTCTCTCTCTCTCTTTTATTTCAAGAGAAGTTTACTCAATCTGGTGTTATGGCCATGCAGTTTAAAATGAGGCAACCTGAGATGTGTCATGTTCTGTGCCGGGTAGTTCTTGATGAAAAAACTGCAAAAGCATTCAAAGATAAGATTGAAGATGAGTACCGTGTAAATATGTATGCCCTGTTGACTTGTCATATAACACTATTGACTATTCATTTATCTTTATATTTGGCACATGCATATATTCCGTTTTATTACTTTTTGTTTTAAAAACTATTTGGCTAAATGCGTCAGGATCTTGGATAATCTTCCATTGGTTGTTCCGGTTCGAAGGCTAGACCCTGAAAGTCCCCCTGCTTACCAGCAAGGGTATTATGTTGGCGTGAAAGGACAATATACTGGAGTAAGTGCACTTTTTATCATAGTACCCTAAAAAGGAAAACCTACCAAGATATATCTTTTACTCATACTATGTAATTATGATCAGAGCAAGGATGAAAAATTCTTTATCCACAACCACTTGAGTTTTACAGTCAAGTATCATAAAGATTTGCAGTTTGACTCAGCCAGGATTGTTGGATTTGAGGTCATGCCATACAGGTTTTGGACGCTCTTGCTCAGAACACTGTAATGCATATGTATGTTAAATATTCTTTTCCTAACACATCTATTATCTTATCTATATGCATCCAGTGTCAAGCATGAATATGAAGGAGAATGGACTGAGAATACTCGTTTGACGACGTGTGATCCACATGCAAAGCGGACAGTGACAAATTCAAATTCTCCTCAAGAGGTGGAGAACAAAAAAGAAATCATATTCACCTATGATGTTGAGTTCCAGGTATTGTATTTCGAAACATTGTTTAGGACTTTAGGTAGACAGGCCTTTTTTGTTGGCATTCTCATTCTGCCTGGCTGGGGGTGGTCGCGTACATTTGAATCATAAAGATTATGTACAGTCCAATGTTGTTTGAAACTTATGCAGAATAGCTTTGTTATTATTTCTGCATATTTGCAGGAAAGTGAAGTGAAGTGGGCATCAAGATGGGATGCCTATCTCCTGATGGCAGATGACCAAATCCACTGGTTCTCGGTTGTAAATTCTTTGATGATTGTTCTCTTCCTCTCGGGTATGGTGGCCATGATTATGCTGCGGACTTTGTATCGTGACATTTCCAGGTATAATGAACTTGAGACGCAGGAGGAAGCTCAAGAAGAAACCGGATGGAAGCTAGTGCACGCCGATGTTTTCAGGCCCCCAAGTAACTCAAATTTGCTTTGCATCTATGTGGGGACTGGGGTGCAGTTCTTTGGTGTGCTGCTTGTGACAATGATATTTGCTGTCCTTGGGTTCCTCTCTCCTTCAAACCGTGGTGGTTTAATGACCGCCATGCTCTTACTTTGGGTTTTCATGGGATTATTTGCTGGTTATGCCTCCACCCGTCTTTACAAGATGTTTAAGGGTACTGAGTGGAAAGCAATTGCTCTGAGGACTGCCCTCCTTTTTCCCGCCACCGTATTTGCCATCTTTTTTGTTTTAAATGCACTCATCTGGGGTGAGAAATCATCGGGGGCAGTTCCATTTGGGACCATGTTTGCTCTAGTCGCCTTATGGTTTGGAATCTCGGTTCCCCTGGTATTTGTGGGCAGTTATGTTGGTTTCAAGAAACCAATGATTGAGGATCCCGTGAAGACTAACAAAATACCAAGACAAATCCCTGAGCAGGCATGGTACATGAACCCGATTTTCTCGGTTCTGATTGGGGGAATACTTCCATTCGGAGCCGTTTTCATTGAGCTCTTCTTCATCCTCACCTCAATTTGGTTGAACCAGTTCTACTACCTCTTTGGCTTCCTCTTCATCGTCTTCATGATTCTGATTGTCACCTGTGCAGAGATAACAATTGTGCTCTGCTATTTCCAGCTATGCAGCGAAGACTATCTATGGTGGTGGCGATCTTACCTCACATCAGGTTCATCAGCTCTATACCTCTTCCTGTATGCTACTTTCTATTTCTTCACTAAGCTGGAAATCACGAAGCCCGTTTCCGGAATACTGTATTTTGGCTACATGCTGATTGCCTCCTACGCATTTTTCGTCCTCACCGGCACAATCGGCTTCTATGCATGCTTCTGGTTCACAAGGCTCATTTATTCATCCGTCAAGATTGACTAATGAGCTGCCGTTGTGGTGTAAGCCTTTTAGATATTTTCTCTTTGCAGTTGCAGTGCCTTAAATTGTTTCATTTTTGTAGCTTTACCCAGAAATAGTTCACTGATAAAAAAGAACTTCAAAAATGTTTCCTTATAAAATCCATGTAAGTCTATATATATACTGTAGTACCTGTGGTTTGAACCCGTTCACTTAGAGGCTATATATTTTTTGAACGAAGCGACATATATACATCAAATGGAAGGCCATCCATCCCCTTTATCTCACTCATATTACAAAACTAAAACTGTTCAAAAGGTATTTATCAAGCAGTTACTATGTCTCACAGTTGTGGTTTTTTAACAATGTGGTATCCGTGAAGGTAGAAACATTGATATGTCGTTCCGGAGGAAACCAGTTACATAACAACTATGTTGTGTCTATGTGGTGTAATCCAGTCGACAAAACTGCACTGTCGGCGTTTTTTTGTTGACTAAAAATAAAAGGATAAAGCTATTTGTACCCCAACTATTTGTACCCCATTTTGTACACCGCAGGGATGCACCAACATTTTGTATTGGTGTAATATTAATTTTTGTTAACGCACCAACACTTTGTGTCAGTGTAAATTTTTGTTAATGCACCAACACTTTGTGTCAGTGTGAACTATCAAAATGTTGGTGCATACCTTTGGTGTACAAATGGGGTACAAATTTTGGGTACATGTAGCATGCTCCAAAATAAAATTTTCTTTTCAACGTCAGAAAAAAAAAGATTATGGTTAAAAGCATATTTAAGATATAAAATCCTACACTAGGTCCTTTCAGTACTCACTACTCCATACATTTTTAGTGGTTTTTTTTACTTGTTTGGTTAAACTCTTAACACTAAAAGACTACAAGTTTGATAGTGGAATATCCGGATTTGATCAGACTTGTACTGATCTGAAATCAGATTTAGATTTTGAAAATTCGCCCGCTTAGAAACAGATGCAGATGAGTTACAAGACTTGGTAGGATGCTGTATAAAAATGTAAAGAATGACATGTTTACATAGTTTGAAGGAACTTATCTTAATCTAGAGGGGGTCACGTTAGTATCATAGTTATCTACTAAATCACTGGATGTAGATTGCACCAGTAACAATAACATGATGTGACACACTTTTTTGAATTATTATGACAATTAAATCTCTCATATGAGATTTCTAACCCGTACCTTGTATGGATTCGTTTCCACGATCTCATCGACAAACGTGTTGGTAGCCCACTCAGGTTCAACTTCTAGGCATTACGATTTTTGCACGTTGAAGGACTCTTCTCTACGTTGATCACGATTTCTTCAGGCAAGAATGACTTCGGAATGTGATGGGAACTCTTTGATCAAAATTTTATTGTGTTCTTTCCCTCACAATTTCTCCAAGAAATTCGTGCAGGGATCTTATGTGTTAAAATAGACTTCTCCAAACCCAATCCTAATAGGAGATTTAAATAAAAGCAACCTCTCCCACTCTGATTGCATTGAGCCATTGGGTTGGCATTATTCTTTAAGGCCTAGCATTTTTATTAATCTAACCTCTCAATATAATTGATAGTTTGATTACGTCACCCCCATGGCATTAGGTTGATGATCGGTGTGGCTGGAGACAGTAAGGCCAAGCTTGAAAGTAAACCATTTCCAATTCGGAAAACAACAATTTTGAGAAAAAAAGCTTACAATAATCAAATTAGAGGTGGACAAAAAAACCGAATAAGCATGGTACCATACCATACCGTAATGGTACCAAATCGCTTATAGTGTTTTTAAACGGGATTGGTTTTTATCATCAAAAATCGAAACTGAACCGATATCAGACAGGACGGGGTCATGATACAAATATTTAAAACCGACCATCACGGACCGAACCGTTCAGAGCTTCATTTTTTAGAGTTATTAATTGTCTGATATTATATGAATTGAAAAAAACTCTTTTTTTAAAAATTTTTTAGACTCATTATCTTTTATTCTTTATGTTTATGATTATTTTAAATTCAAAATCAATACTTCTATTTAACAAAGTTGTGTTTTTTTATACAAAAAAATATTTTTATTTCAATGTTATTTGAGTAATGCATGTTCATTTTTTTGACACACCTTGAGCATGTGTATGATATTGTACCGTTCCGTTTCAAAACAGAATGATACTGAATGGTTTTGTAGTTCACCTCGTACCAATATCGAACCATTTAAATAAGGGCGGTCTGTGATAGGTTCCGATAGTATCACGGACCGCGCTCACCCCTAAATCAAATGAAAAATGTATGCAATCTTTCAAGCAATTGAAAAACAGTTCACGGTTGCACCTATTCTCTTTCAACTGAATGCCCGAATGAGTATTTTCAATCTACAAAACTAATAGTGACAATAGTACTTTATTTTATCAAATTGCTAACGAAAATAAAGAAAGAAAGTGAATGAATTTTGACCCTATGAATAGTGAACAGACATTATAATTTGGGACGGATGGAGTAGAAAACTTTCAAAATTTTATTTTATAGTATTAACATGCAATACAAAATTAGAGTAGCTGATAATTAAAATGCATCTAATTTGACTCGAAAAAATCAAACTGGACAAATACAATGTGTGTGACATAGAGAGTACGAACTTATTTAACAAGAATTTTTTTTTAAAAAAAAATGGACAACTAAATCCAAACGTAAGAAATGCTTTGTAGGAACCACACATTTAATTCCTTAGAAAAAAAATGTGACATAATTTTGGGAGATGCAAGAAAGGAAAGTACCAACATAATTATATGAGACTATGAGAGTAGTTTAAGTTAATCACCAATACAATATGTTTGTTTAGAACAACTAGGTTAGAGCACATCAAGGAAACAACATTGCTTTACACATTGCATGCAATGGCACAATGGTTGAGAAATTAAAATGTTGAATTATCAAAAAATATTTACACTGCCTTTTAAGATCTCCCTCAACAATACCAAAACCAAAGATGAGTGATTTGGTGAACTTCTGTATGACCCATTGCCTTTTAAGATCTGATCAGCAACTCATACACATTGCTACTGTTGTCGCCAGAAACGCGCTTAAGCATTTCAAAGCTTTTACGGCTACCCATAAACTCAATCCGTTTAAACGCAACATACCCACGTTTTGTCGTTTCATCGCTGCAATACACAGACCGCAACCGATCAGCATGTCTGGAGTCTGTGTGGATGGCCACCTCTATTTCTTGAGTAGACATCTCTTCCTGGGAAGTAGGACTAAATAACTTTTCTATTTTTTTAAAACGAATAAGGAAAAGGCAATTGATATTCGTACAAATATGTTGAATGATCTGGTCAAATTCAAATATATTCGTAAATAAGATCACAAAGTTTCTAAAAATTTACTCCTATAGATATCTTGACCTAAATTTATTAAGGAAAAAGAGTAAACTAGTAGTAAAACAAAAATATATATACCAAAATAAGAGTTCCATGTTTTTATTCTCAAAATAGGAGTTAAAAAATGCATATACAATTCCAATCATGCCAATATATAATAGCAATAAGTATTGTGAAATGTCCATACATAGTGCCACATTATCACTAGTGTAAACTCCTATTTTGAGGATAAAAACATGGAGCTCCTATTTTGATACTTTCTCTATGTTTTACTCCTATTTAAGGCGATTTCTTAATTTACTAACTAGTAAAGGAAAAATAGGAGTTCACTTAATAAATCTTGGCCAGCATTCATTATTTGCAAGGAGCTGGATGAGAAGAAACTCTAACATTATACTGGGCAAAAAATAAATTGTTTCCCATAGCCTAAATCATAGATTTCTCAAGCAAGTGATTTAAAACAATGAATTTTGAGCTGTAAACGTTGAGCCAAATTAGCAGCATTTCATTTCAAAACAAGAGTTTAGAAGGGGAGTAGCACCAGTTACCTGGTAAAAGGCATATATATAATTCAAGAGCTGCAGACACTTGAAGCCATTATCGCTGAAATATGTTCTTGAACAAGGACCTATTTCTGAAAATCGATCAACTGGATACAATATTGTAAGGAAGTGGCTCTTTAGCACCGTCTCTGATTTCTCACTGCATTTAAGCATTAATAGTAAGACCAGAGAAGTCATCAATTGATTGTTTATTGAACCGAAAGAAAGATTACAAAAGTGGAAATAAACACTAAAGACAGTGTATTTAGTTCTAAAGTATAGATATGTGTTTCTTCTGGGGAGTTAGTGGAAAGCAAGGAACGTGAAGGAGCTATACACTCCAAACTTCTCATATCACTCCCCCCAAACAGGGTATTTCAGGGGAGATATATTTCTTTATTTTTTTAAAAATTGCTTTAGGAAAATTGTTCTACATTATTGCTGTTATACACACAGATCATTACTCTGTAAGTCCGTATATTTTAACATTAACAAAAAACATACGAAATAAAATACTCCGTAATTTTTATGTGTTTTGCTAAAACAATAATCCATCCTCACTCATCTATTGAACCAAAAAACAGCTTTTAAACTCTTTCCGTTTCCTCCCATCTTCCCATTTCTCCTCCCCTTCCCTCATCTCCCTCTTTTGAACCAAGCAAAGGGTAAAGGATCCGTGCACACCCACACATACACATCCATACATATATCATTCAGGTTCAATTGGATATTCCTACCAAACCAGATTTTTTTTACACATTTGACATTTCTTTCCTCATTCAAACATTGACATATATGGAAAGGCTGCAGCCTTTTTATATTCAAGATTTGCATGTGTTGGAAAAAAGTTAATTCAGAAGGCTCCATTTGTTTAATATGTTTCAGCAGGTATAGTCCAGATTGAACCATAAACAGTTTGCCGGAGTAAGGTACACTTACGTGTACTTGTGTAGCCGCTGTAGGTGAGTAAATGAAGATGTGCAGCAAGTGAAGATATCCATGTGAAGAATGAAAGAAAATTAGGCCACTTCACAGCGGCAGCACCAGAGACAAGGTGAGTTTTGGTAATGAAGTGGAGGCATGATGACGTTCTGACAGTAGTAATGCCAGAAGTGAATGTTAAGTGGGCCCCCCAAATGATGGGGTGCGTTTAGCCCACATTGCATAATAGCCACACATTGGGGGGGGCTTAGGGCGGGGCTGGGGTGGGGGGTAGGGGTAACACTAGGGTGGGGGGTTTAGGGGGTGGATTAGGGGGGTTGGAACCATCAATTTTCTGATTAGAGCACCGGAGGTGCTCCAAAAATGCAGTGCCACTGCTAATGTCACTGCTGGCGAGTGTCAACGGAACCGTGCCCATATTAATAACATTTTTTGGACCAGTGCGCAAAAGATTTCCTTCATGACTTAATTTTCCCTATTCTATAAGTGTTTTTTCATATACTTTTCTTTTTCTTTATTTTCTTTTCTATTCTTTTTTATTTTATTTTAATTTTGATTAAAATAAAAGAAACGGTATGAAATTAATGAACAGAAAATGAGAAATGAGCTTTAGTAAAAAAGAAAATATTTCATTGATTTTCGTATCATGAAAATGAACCAAAAAAGACATCTTTTGGACAAAAAATTAAAATGTTTAATTTGAGACGAATGAAGTGTACGTTAATTCTTGTTAGTTAATTGATTTTTATTGCAAACACAAAAAAAAATTGATTATTAAAACATTATAAAAAAAACATGTATGAAAAAAATAGTAGAAAAAAGAAAAACAATAAAGAAAAGAGGGGGTGTTTGTGCCAATTTCCAAACCATGGGGACAGTGGAGCTATTAACATAATAATTGAAGGATATTTTAGTCTAAAGGGACATGGGCATAGCAATATCAGAACAATGAGGGGAAACGGCGTAAGTTTTGAAACCATAGGGGGTAATGGTGCACTTTTACCAAACCACAGGGGGTCATGGTGCAATAAACTCAACAAAATAGTGAGTTAAATATTTCTATGTTGGAGGAAAGATGGTCCGAGGCCATGGGGAAAGATCTATCTTCAACCTTCTGGTGGTTGTCAATGGCGCCTACTCTTACATGAACTTTTAATCTCCTTCATCGAGAGACCATTGGAAAAGGTCAGAAGAGGTTCGGAGTAGACAAGCCTCCACTACCCAAGGTGAGGCACTACGACAAAAGATCAGAGCGCATAATTCCTGAACTGATTTCGCAGAAGGTTGAGAGCAAGTCACTGATCCGCCTTCCACGACTACTCCAGTTGTTTCAAATGATGTGCAGGTACCAGAGGATGGTGTTGCTGATAATCAAATTGACGAAGTGAACAATCCTGAGGACGTGGATGAATTGTTTGTGGAAATGTCTGAAAGAGCAACTCGACCTAGCTATGCTAGTTTTTTTAGAAATAACAAGGACAGGTCCAGGGGCTACCAACTGGATAAATTTGAGGTCGGGAGACTGTTATCATCCCTGATAACATCATCAAGCCCATAGAAGAATGGGGATACTGTTTGGTTGGCTTTTTAACTGATAGGTTCCCTGGATTACTGGTAGTGGAGGAGCTTAAAGCATCGTATATAGTGCCATGTAAACTCATACCGTACCATAAAGGAAGGCTTGTCGGAACTTGAGAGGCCGGAGGAGAGACAGAGTGTGCTTGCCAATGGTCCATACACTAGCTTTGGTAAGGAGCTCATCCAAAAACCTTTGCCTGATGGATTTGCCTTTGATTTTAATGCCATTATTAGTCTCCCCATATGAGTGAATTTTTTTTGTCCCACCACAACTGTGGACTAAGCAAGGTATGGACCATCTTGCATCGTGCCATTCACACATTGGGACCCCCATATGCACAGATGCTATTACCAATGAGAGACACATGGCTGCTTATTGTAGGGTGCTCATTGAAGTGGTTGTATCTAAGAGACCCCTCTATTCATTTCTGGTTAAGTATTGTGGAAGGAGTAAAGTCCTGAATAGAGTTGACTGCATTTTGCTTCCACTGTAAAAAGTTGTCTTGAGGATGTCACCATAGAAACTGAAATGGTGTCGAGGACTAACAATGTTGCAGTGGAGATTAGTGAGAATAACCAGGCCAAGGTAGCACCAACTGCCAAGGCCATTGTTTTGAAGGCTGCTAATAATGTTAATGCCGCTGCTTCCAGGGATGCCACCACGCCTGCTGCCAGTGCTTCTGCCAATTCTGCTGCCCAGGAAGCTGGCAAGAGGACAGCTGCTGCTGGAATGGTCAGTAAAGAGGCATGGGGATCTCCAAAAGTCTCCCTCTTCTGCACACAAGGCACGCACCAAGGACAGTAAAGCCACTGAGGCCAGGGAAGCTGCCTCAGAATCTGCCATGGCTGCGAAGACAGTATGTCCCTAAAGCAGGCCTTACGGATCAGGTCCCAGTCATAATTTTAGTGTGGTAATTGGTAAAAGGATGGAAAAATAGGGGCAAACCTATATCACTTGAGAATGATATGGAGGAACATCTGAAGAGGAATGGCTACCAATCCAACCCCATTATGACTACGGTCCAAACCAGGGGTCGTGGGAGGGGTTAGGCAATAGAGGCTTCTTTGCAGGAAAACAGGATTTTGTCAGCTTGTGTCACCTGTGGGAAAGAGAAAGCAATGACGCTTGATAGAAACAACATACTGTGCAATTGTTGTCCTTGATTTTTTGTTGATTTTGGTAGGCTTTTATAGTGGCTCTTTAGTTGATCCTTTGAGGTTAGGCTAAGTACTTCGGTTATCACTATGAGTACCTGCCTTGATTTTGATTTGGTCGTTTAGAGCTTGTGCTGTTCGGGAATGCTTGAATTTGGTGTACGTATTCACTTGGGTTATTAATGTTACTATTTACATGTCACCCAAATGTTTCCATGTTGGGAAATAATTGTGAGCCACTATGTTGACCCTACTATTTGTAATAGTAGAAGTTATAACTACTATTTGAATAGTAGAAGAAATAATAGAAGTATTCATTTGTAGATCTAGCCCAAAAGTTTTGGGTGCACCACGTTAAATATCTAATGGGAAACTCTGAAGATGTCTTTGAAAAACACTACAAATGGTGTAGTAAGTATGGAAGCTGTTAGGAGCAATATTTTAAATGAAGAGATGAGACGTAGATCTCAAGGTTCAACCTCTTCCTTACAGTCAAAAGTTCTGATTATTGAAAAGAGGGAAGTAGCCAGTCTAAGAGTTCAAGGTCCAGATACAGGGGTAGGGAAAATCAAACAAATATGCAAACATCGAGTGCCATTACTACAAGAAGAAAGGTCACCTGAAGTGATTTTGCTGAAAACTAAAGAATGGTCGGGAAAAAAACATACACAAAAAGGGGAGGTGAACAGTGATGATGAACGGGAAAATCTTGTCGAAGATTTCAACATCAATTGTGGTCGTGAAATTGTTGGTCAATTATCCTACGAGAAAAGTTGGGTTATTGATAGTGTGTGGTAGGAAATGGAAACTTATTGTGAAGATAGGAAATGGAAACTTATCAAATATAGTTGGCAAGGGAGATGTTTGAAGAAATGGATAATGCTTTGGACCAAATCAACTATGACGTGTGTCATAGGACATTGTGGAAGATTTCATAACTGAAGAATGGTTCATGATTCTGGAAGACACGTCAACTCTGACGTAGAGACAATCATGCCAGAAAAAACACCAAAAAGAGAGCTCTAATACCATGAGGAAGAACATCTTTTAACGGGCCAGAACCTCTGAAAATACGTAGCCCATAATAACTAAGGCAACACTATGGTTAGGTTTTTGATAAATCTCAATAATTCATAGTAGCACATAATGGACAATGTTAAAAGAAATGCTCACAGAAGCATAAACGACAATTAAAAGCCATTCCCAAGTCGTTTTGTTATAAGAAGCAACAATTACCACAACTCTTATGAGGAAGAGAAACAGATCAATAACTCAGAAAACTTTCTATTCTGCAATCAAGGACCTACGAAGACAACTTCAGTTATGAGTGCAGTTCTGCTCCAATAAAAGAATTTCCGTTAATGCATAATGCTATTATTAAACTTTTCATAACGACCATCATACACCCACCTTGGTCTTTATTATATGATTCAAAATATGGGGCTATCAAAAGTGGATGTGTATATTAAGATGGATGTGTTTTTAGAATAGAAAAGATGTCGTTTGCTTCAAGGTTACCCATGAAAGTAGGTGTAGCAGCTTTCAAAGACTAAGGTAGAGTTATACAGGAGAACCGTTTTCATTGGTTCAGGCACATCAAATAAAAGGGAAAGCCTCAGTATGGATAAAATAATTTTAGGATGCTGGAGAAATGTACAGGAGACGTGGTCAGCCAAAAGTCACGTGGATATTCCTTTTAGACCCTGGATGCATCGCTGCACTTACGACCCAAAAGTTCATGGAAAGTAAGAAGCAAATAAGGTCTAATGCGCTACTTTTATTTAGTCCATTATTTACTTGGAGCTAAGCCTAAAACATTGTCAATTATGACTCTTTTAGTTCCATTTAAGAATGAGAAGATGGCACCAGCAGAAATTGTCAAGGGGATAAAATATTAAACCAGCTATATGTTAAGTGTTCTGAAATTTTACCCTAAGCCTGCAAGTGTGCTAAGAAAATTGTAGTAGATATATAGGTGTACTAGAAGGTTTGCTCAGATGAATATTCCAGCTAAAATTCTAGTTCAAGATATCAAGACAAGTTAGATTACCACATGTAACTTCTCATAGTCATCCATATTCTTACCTTTCCTTAAGTGGTCGGGATAAGTTCACAAAAGAAAATTCAGATTCCTTTGCAACCTCATTACGGTCGTTGAAGACACATGTGTTATGCAGTGTAGTGTCTTCAACACTAGAAGAATCTATATAAATTGAGGCAGTTGATGTTGGCTCACATATTGACCAGCAGATTGAATCCAGAAGACTGTTTGGTGTTATTGGACGCATAGGGGTTTGACATGTCTGCAATTCAAATAGAAACAACAAATATATCCAATCTCACATGAATGGAGCATATATTTTTATTCAAAAAAACATAAATAATACATCTTGGCCAACCAATATGGCAATATGCAATCTCTACCTGCATACGTTTACCCCTCCTCTTCCTTACTCCATCTTTAGCCAGGCTCACAACCTTTTGTCTCAAATCATGACTTATAGCGGATATAGAATTTGGTACATCATATTGCAGATCCACATCCTCATTGATTTCCTAGAGAAATTAGGGAAGCGATGGTTAACATCTAAAAGGAGTTAAGAAAAAATATGGAGAGAAAAACACGGCACAAAATAGAAGGTGCTAATAATCCGAGCCTGCACAAACAAGCACAGACCATCACAAAGCCAATAAAAACACAACAAATCCCAATTTCAGAAGACAAATTCGAAGGTGGGATGTAGGCTATGATGCATTTTAGTGTCGATCATTGAAGGTCAACCACCACACACACTTCTAGGTTACAATTCAGTGATACAAGTATACAACCATGATTACACATTAACAGATTGCACCGCACCCCTATTTTTCTCCAGGTAGTTATGTGTTCATGCGTCATGCATCTTACTTAATAATTACATGGTTGGACAACAATTATCTGATATGAAGATATATTTAAGATCTGATTCCGCATCTGACTGACAGTATTTTGTTGCAATATATTCACTCTCTAGAATTTCTAAATAGAATCAAATGTTCTGAAGTCCCTAGCCATGAGCTAAAGTTGAAAATGTTCAATGTGCATCTGATGATTATGAGGAACTTAGACCATTTGGTTGGATTATAGCGTTCTGGCTACATTCATGCAGTTAAAAAAGTGGCATTCACATTCAAAGTCAAATTTCTTTCTTATACAATGTACTCATGTCCTTCAAAGAAGTTCACTATTCGAACAACGTGCAAAATCCCATTAAAATCATACTCCCTCCGTCTCAAGTTAATCTTCTTGATTGGGTTTGGCACAAACTTTAAGAAAAGTGAAAATGAGTGGTTGAAAGTGATGCAGAGCACAGAGAAAGATGTTGAGCCACAAAAAGCTTACCAAAAAGGAAACATGAAGGTTTTTTAGGGACGTCCCGAAAAGGAAAACATGAATATTATTTTGGACGAATAGAGTATTATTTACAAATTCGTATGGAAATAAAAAAAATTACATATTTCAAAACTACATCAAAAGTTCTATAAAACAAGATGTGACAAGAATAATTTATTTTATCAAATAATCAAGGAAATATTATCTTAAATAATCCCACCTTTTCACGTTTTTTCAAAAATAATCCCATTTTTCACTATCACCGGAAATAATCTCACCTTTCGGCATGTGTGCGAGTTTTGGGTCGCCGTTAAAAAACTAACGGCCACTTAATGAAATTTTTGAAAAATGCTTATTTTTTGCAAATAAATAAAAGGTGGAATTATTTTAGGCAAATTTACTTTTTTATTTTTTTAATTTTAAATATAAAATTAATATTTTTAAAAATATAATTGTACACTTTTGTTAGAGATTTGTCTAATGATTTACAAATTTTGTTTTCTGTTCTAAGAATATATAATATTGAATTATCGAAAATAATTCAGATCGATCAAGAAAGAAATTGCAATACAAAAAAAATTGTAGTGAGTTATACAATTTATTAGTGCCGTTTTGGAGAAAAAATATTGTGCCATTTTCACAACTTTTGAATTACTATTTATGGGAAAAATTTGTACTGAATTATCAAAAAAAATCACAAGTTAAGTAGTTCCATTTTCGAAAAAAATAATATAGGTAATAGAAGATTATCAATAAATATTTCAGAGTTTTGTTCATGAAAAAATTGTAATAACAACAAATAATATAGTGAGTTATGAGAAAAAAATATTGTATTATTTTCACAACTATTGTAATGTTGTTTTGCAAAAACATTTATATAGAATTATCAAAAACTATTTACAAGTTTTGTAGTGCCATTTTTTAAGAAATAATAATAATATAGTATCAAAAAACAATTCAAAGTGCCGCTCAAGAAAAATAATTGCAACTTACAAAAAATGTAGTGAGTTATGAAGTAATAAATTAGCTCTGTTGTGTAGAATAATTTATTGTTTAATTATTACTAGATTATTGATTATATATTGAAAAAAATAATTAGTTCACTCTAAAAAACACTTAAATTTGGTATTACTTATAAAAAAAATTAAAAAAATACACTTAAATTTAAAGTTAGAAATTAAAAAAAGAATTTACCTAAAATAATCTCACCTTTTATTTATTTGCGAAAATCAGGCATTTTTCGAAAATTCCGTTAAGTGACCGTTAGTTTTTTAACGGCGATCCAAAACTCGCACATGCGGAAAGGTGAGATTATTTCCGGTGACAGTGAAAAGTGGGATTATTTTTGAAAGAGCGCGAAAAGGTGGGATTATTTGAGATAATTTTTCCAATAATCAATGAAAACACATAAATAACAAAAGCTATCGAGAGCCCGGAATAGTAACAAAGGAAACCTTTTGGAGGGGGGGAGTATATATTAATGAAAATTAACTTTTATTTATAAATTATCGAACCATCACCCTGTGCAATGCACGGGCAAAATGCTGCTATGAGTAAAAGCAAAACAAAACATACGTCTTTATGAATGTGAGATTGAATACTCTCCATCAATATTCCAGTTTGCTTAGCTAGATCAGCAGATATGTGGACAAGCTTTTGCAGTTGCTTTTCCTTTACAGTCTTTAAAACCCATAATGGCTGAACCATGAAAAGAAAGTTGCAGATCATATTAGATGGAGAAAATGGAACAGAAGGAAGTCACTGCAGACAAATGTTACATTACAGAGAAGGTAAAACTCATAAAAGAGACTAGTTATATTATAAGAATGGGTAACATGTAGAGTAAAGGCACTTACAGTAACAATATTTGCAGAATGACCAAGATATTTCTGAACAGAACTTCCCTCACACACTATGTGACTTGCCCCACAACCAACAAACCATTGATCAACCAAAGCCGCACCTTGTGCAGAAGCAGCCTCAACAACCTAAGTGTAAAAACGAATTGTCTGAGAGAAATGCTCAAATGCAACTACTGAAACATTATTTATCTGAATTAGAGGCATTTAGCCCTAAGTAGCATGAGTTTAGATGCTTTTTAATTACTTTAACAGATTGACATTTTAGGTTGTAATAAAATGCACCTAGTATCAAACTAACATAAGAGGTACGGATGTCAAAAGGTTTTAGATCCATAAACATACACACATGCAACAACAAAAATGAGCCTCAATCCTAAACAAACCCATTTGATCAACCATAAATTTAAATGCATCATTAAAAAAGGTATACCTTACAACGCAGTTCATCAGACACATCAACATCTACATACAATGAATAACCAGACAAAGGAGATATTATTGTTCTTTTCACACTTTCTCTATCCAAAGCATTTGGTTGTGGCTCTTCAATCAAGTTCAATTTTTTTAGATGCTCAATTGTTCCCATAGGAATACAAGAAGTTTGAGAGTCACCATTGTGGCCAAGTCGGTTGAAAACATCAAAAGAAACACCTTCTTCAGCAACTTTGACACCATAAAGTGATTCACTCAACCTTGCTGTGCATAAAAGTAGCATAAAACATTCATCAAATGATGACAGGAAAGATAAAGATTAATAAGGCAGCCTCATAACCACTGCAGAAATAGAGGCAGGCCCACATTAATTTAGGCTGTATGCAGCCAAATAATAACCTGTACACCTACACAGACCTCATAAAACTTGGACAGCTAAATTTGAATAGCTTTTTAACAATTAAGTTAACGTAAAATTATAGAATTGTATTCTAATTTTATGTATTACATAGTACAGGAAAATTTTTCATGTAATTTAATAGGACTACTGCAACTTGTTACTATATTGTTTCCGTCAATGATGGGGACCCCGTGGATTAAATGTGCAAAAGGAAAAGAAAAACATATTGCAAATGGGGATCAGTTCATTAAGTAGCCGACTGAGCCAAAATGATACCAACAAGCTAAACAAAAGTTAACCAAGACAAATATGTGCACCAGCCTATTCATTGTGGAAAATGTTTTATGAAAAATTTTGATAACAAACTGAGAAACAAATGAGGTGGATAGTGTAAAGATCATTGATGAGAATATGATGTGATATGCTGATATGTTGAAAGGTAGGATGCTGCCACGTGTCCAGTTTGTCAGATTCTTCGTCAATGATTTGTACATGTAGCATAATCCTTCATCATATCGTATACTCGAAATTGAAATGAGATGCAAGAGAAATAAAATGTCTTACACTCCTACCTTTATTTTTCACACTATCCACAATCCAACCCAAGGTAACAATCGAAAGACCATTTTTGGATCCATGTTTCAGGGCATGCTCCAATTTGGGGCCATGAAATCTGTGACTTGCATTAAGGAAGCATGAATGTACAAGCACTAAGATGTTAACAAAAAAGCAGGTAAAGTGGAAACTTGCCAAGTACGTACACACACCTCTCTGTAACAAACTGCTACTCTAATATCTTCTTTATTAATGATGATTACCCATCATTTGTTCTTAAATCAACATTTATAAGAAATATTACTGAACACACTCACACACAGTGCATGGAAAAGCAGAGAGCCAGAAAAGGGAAAATACTATGTTGTACCATTTCACATAGAAATCAAAATGCCTTCAATTTCAAGCCCAGAAAAAGGGAAGTACACAATAGGGGAAGAAAAGGATATTTGAACCACCAAATGGGTGCAATGGGGATGCAATTGTGGGCTATATGTCCCACCCAACTTCTCCGTTGCTTTCATCACTTGCATCCTGGCTTCTGCCAATAAACAATTTAAAGCAAGAGCATATAATCAATAGACAAATTAATCAGATTACACCAAGGAATTAGTGTAATCTGAATTAGATAGCAAATAAAAACTGTCAAATCAAAAATCATAACAGGTGATGCCATCTTAACCATACACACTATAGAGTATCAGGCACAAAGTTCAATAGCACCTATTCTAACATACCTTTTGACAAACCAGTTACACAGATGATAAGCCCGGAAAAAGGGCCAATGGCTCGAGATTCTGCCCTCGATTCAGTTACTGCAGTGCTTGCAGAAGAAGAGCGCATGTTCAGAGAATGAGACTGGAGCCCTTCGAATGAAGATGAAGTATCCACAGATAGCCTGGAACACCGTTTGATACTAACCACTTCCACTCTTCCTACGCCCCTTATTTCAACTCAACATCCAAATGAGATAGTCAGACACCATTTCGTGGGAGAAATTACGCCAGAGGTTTTTGCTTGAAATTCCTGGGATGATGGGTATTCGAAATACAGATTGCATTTTTATCAAAAAAAAGAAAAAAAAAAGAAATACAGATTGCATTTTTTATTTTTATATCCCAAGATTTGGAAATCAAATGCATATCAGGCTAATACAGACACATCCAAATATATAATATCTGTATATATCTGTATTGGCCTTGGTGGGCATTTCATATCAAATGCTTGGGGTTCCCCTATCATTATTCTTTTATTTTTCTCTCTTATTTCGAGATTTAGGATTCCTATTTTATTAAATTATATAAATCTATTACCTAATTTGCAGAATGAGTGTCATGGATTCATGGGTGGGTTCGTTACTTATTTTAAGAGATCAAGTTCTTTCATTCTACTAGATGTATACATTCATCCTCTAGCCGCTCTTCAGTCCATCTCGCTAATCTATCGATTACGCTTATGCCTTCTTGAACGTGAAATATCTCCCTGGTCTTATTGGCAGTTTGACACGAAGTTACCAATTTCTAAATTAGGTTGAAAAATAACTAGTTGAATCACTCCACTATAACACCGTAAATAACTTTGAACGGAGTATACAAGAGGGATGACACCGTCAGCAACTTGACGCTTATAATGAAAAATAACATGAACATGAACACATGAGACTGTACCGGAAGACCATCGGCCGCAAGTGCAAACTCTATTCCCTAAATATTGGCTGTTACCATAGTTTGCAACATATTGGTTGTTACCATAGTTTGCAGCGACCTACTTTTGTTTTGTTTGCTCACGACTTCGTAAGATGTTCGCAATTTTTGGAGTGATACAAAAGTCTTTTTATTGCCAATCCAGAACACTCGTGTACCTTTTTACGAAAGGTTCAACCACTTTTCTATAAAACATACACGGTGACCGATAACATCTGGTAATCCTTAAACAAATTGTTAAACCTTTCTGAACGGTTGGTGCTCAAGATCCCACATCTAAAACTACCATCATAAGACAAACCCACGCTTCACGTGGGATATCATTCAAAGAGAGACATGCCTCTTCACTAGGGTTCTATATTTCTCCCATATATCTGTGAAATTCTTAGATATTAAATGTGTTCCCAGCGGCTCAAACTAGACGCTTGAAATCTGAGTTACAGAATTTTATCATGAAGTTACTACGGATACGGATCACGGATGTGGTGTAGGCAAAAAGCGCTATTATTCTTCCTGTTTGAGGTTCAATAAGTTCTCTATAAGCGTTGATAATTCCAACATACCTACCTGAAATGATACATGCTTGCAGAGAACGAATAACCTTTTGAACCACCAGCTTGTGACGAAGCTAAATATAGCGGTAAGTCAATAAATTAATCGAGAATGACTCGGTCTTCTCACAAGGATTGGCAAAGGGAAGTATTTGTTAATTATCTTGATATTTTAATTTAACAAAATAATTAATCTTGAACTAGAACAAAAACTTAGAACAATCAAAATTCAAGAAAAAAAATATGAATAATGAAATTAATTTAATCAATGATTTAGAAACAAGTTTGAATTGAGCAAGTATATGAGCTAAGGTAATAACCTATATTACATTAGCTTCTTGATTAATTAGATTTTAATTCATTAACTTATCCTATTTCTAGGCCTCATTAATGTATCTAAACATGGTTGGCTAGATTATTTTCCTAACTCATAGACAAGCCGGACTAATAATCTCCAAGGATTAATTAATAAATCGGCCATATCTATTAATTATTTAATCTCATTTTAGACAAACTAGTATCACACATTCACACCCGTGCGTTGCACGAGTCATTTTTATGTTATTAAATTCAAATCATTTTTCAATGATAAAAAATGGAGTGCAATAGAATATAGAGGTTATATTATTTTAAGGTACAAAACATCACTGCTTTAAGAATTTCAAAAGACTTCTTTATAGACTACATTATTTATACAATTTGTAAGAATATTGTCTTCATTGCATATCATAATCTTCAACCCACTACGATTAGTTACTCTTGAAACTGTAACATAGAGTTGTCCATGACTAAAACATGTTGGATTATTGTTACGGAAACATGTGATAAACCCTAATTGCTCGTAACTTCATCATTGACATTGATGACCGCTCATCAACATTTTTCAAAGCAGTTAGGATCCCCATTTTTCGTAGGAATGGAAGTTTTGAAACGTAGGAGAAAAAAAATCATGATGAATGTAATGGCTATGAAAACTTTGTAAATGGATGTATTTATAATATGATTTTTGCATACGGGGTTAAAAAAATTATTCATTTTTCAAAGTTCTCTAACGAATTTAAATTACTATTACTATATTTAAATTATTTAATTTACTATATTTAAAATTACTATAAATAAAATGACACAGTAATTAATACGGAGTATACAATTATCTATCACTCGGTTATATAATTAATACCTTGGTTAATTATTACCTTTTTTGATAAAAACTACTATAATTCAAATATAGTAAAATATAGCCATTATAAAATTACTATTATAAAATTACTATAATTAATTTGACACGGTAATTAATATACAATTATGTAGTCACACGGTTATATAATTAATACTGTGGTCAATTATTACATTTTTTGATTATTACCTTTCTTGCTAGTATAATTTTGGATACTTTAAAAATGACAGTTAATTATTACCTTTTTTTGTTATTATCCTTCTAGCTTGCTATTAAACGTGTATATATATATATACACACACACACACACACACAAAGGATATCTAATTCTTATAGTAGTTATAGTCCATTTTATATTACTATAATTTCGGACAGTTTAGTTTCTTACCATCTTTAAATACTTAACAATTACTATTAATATATTTAAATTTTTTTAAATTATTATATTCAAAATTACTATAATTAAAATTACTATAATTAAAATGACATGGTAATTAATACAGAGTATACATTTATGTAATCACACGGTTATATACTTAATACCTTGGTTAATTATTACCTTTTTGATTGAAATTAGTATAATTAAAATATAGTAAAATATAGCCATTATAAAATATAGCCACTATAATTAAAATATAGCCATTATAAAATTACTATTATAAAATTACTATAATTAAATTACTATAATTAATTTGACATGGTAATTAATATACAATTATGTAGTCACATGTAATATTAGATTTCATTAATAGTTTAATATAAAATTTTAATTAAAATTACTATAATAAATTTTACACGGTAATTAACATTTAATTACTATAATTAATTTGACACGGTAATTAATTAGATTTCATTAATAGCGTGCTAAATATCATAATTTTGGACACTTATAAAAATAATATTTTTTATCGTGCCCATAAAAATAATAATTATATTAACTTCACAATTACCATTTTATATTACCTATAATTTTGAACACTTACCATTTAATTTCACAATTGCCATATGCACGGGTTAAAAATGGACACTATAATTTTGGACACTTACCATTTATATAGGTAATGGAGTAATAATTATTACATTTTTTGGTTATTACCTTTCTTGCTATTAAACATAAATATAAATATGTATATTTAAAGGATTTTACCGTATTAATTTTTTTCTTCGAAACTATGTGTATAATTATTCTTAACATAATTATAATAAAATATAATCATACACACATTTTTTATATAATCTAGTCACACGATAATCATATAATTATATAATTATGGTAAGAATAATTATACACACGTTATTAATAGAATTGATTATAATAAATAATTTGTGCCTGTTTTATAAATATTTTTTATAACTTACCTTTCTTGCTATTATAAATTTCGGACACTTTAAAAATGAATGTTAATAATTATAAATATAATATAATAATTATACTTATAAAACGTAAATTTTATATTACTATAATTTCGGACACTTACCATTTTAACTTCACATTACCATATGTAATGGCCATACTCTTTGATTAAAATTAGTATAATTAAAATATAGTAAAGTATAGCCATTATAAAATATAGCACTATAATTAAAATATAGCCATTATAAAATTATTATAATTAAAATTACTATAATTAATTTGACACGGTAATTAATATACAATTATGTAGTCACACGTAATATTAGATTTCATTAATAGCGTAATATAAAATTTAATTAAGATTACTATAATTAAAATTAATATAATTAATTTGACACGGTAATTAACATTTAATTACTATAATTAATTTGACACGGTAATCACACGTAATATACAATTTTAATTAAAATTATTATAATTAAAATTACTATAATTAATTTGACACGGTAATCCTACGTAATATACAATTTTAATTAAAATTATTATAATTAAAATTACTATAATTAATTTGACACGGTAACTAATTAGATTTCATTAACAGCGTGCTTAATATCATAATTTCGGACACATACAAAAATAATATCTTTTACCGTGCTTATAAAAATAATAATTATATTAACTTCACAATTACTATTTTATATTACTATAATTTCGGACATTTCCAATCACTACTCATAATAACGTTGGTTAATTATTAGCATATAATACGTTGATTCCATTTTTATTAAAAACTTACGCTTTGCAATTTTATAACTTACCTTTTTAAATGATTTCCAATTTTCAATATGTTAATTATTATAAATATAATAATTATAACTTCACAATTTCGGCCACTTACCATTTTAACTTCAAAATTATTAACTTACCTTTCGGTCATTTTAACTTACCTTTCTATAATTATTATAAATATGATAATTATAATAATTATAATTATAATTTCGGCAACTTACCATTTTAACTTCACAATTGCCATTTGTAATTGTCATAGGGTTAAGGAGCAAAATAGAAGTAAAACTTTGATTAAATCCTAAAATAGGAGTACCCTCTTCTCCACTCAATAAAACACTTAAACTTTTAAAAAAGCTTCGCTCA